TAAGAAAGGACTTGTGTCGCTAAAGTTTCGTCGGAACGAATTCACGGAAAATTAACTAACAAACAGAGACGTAACAATATAATCTTTAGCTAACACTTAAATTATATCATTGAAAATATAACTTACAACATTGCCCCTTCCTGGAGCAATTCTAATACAAAAATACAACACTACACCAAACAATTCAATGATGGCAACTTGTGCAATTAATTTCAAAATACAAACAAAATCAACATTTAAAATGCACAATCCTTTTTATTTGGCCAATGGACAGCATTTAGAGACTCTGCATGTTTCGGTAGTTTTCACTATCAGAAGTAAAAACCTATATGACAAATGGGGAGTTTTATAAGAAAAACGTTTAACTCAATGTAATCTATGACGTCTTTTTGGTGGTTTTTTCTTCCAAGTCATATGGTACACAAGTTGAATGGTCTCTTGTCCTTCAACATCACTGTTGGAGAAATTCTTCATTAGCAGGTGATCAAGTAAATCCACAGGGAATTCCATCTTCAGTAGACTGATTTTCCACTTGCGAATTCTTCACTGGTGTAAGCCATTTGGCTGTTCTCTCATTGATGTACTTCCAAAGACGATCATTGTGAGTGACCTCTGGCTTGGATTGTAGTCTACATCATTGACTTATTTCAGAACAATATATGACCCTCCCAAACTCTTACTTACCTTCGGAGTTTGTCCTTTCTTGTAAAAAGAAAGAACTTTCCAACCACCCATTTTTCAGGATATGCCAGAGTATTTGGATCCAGTATTTCCTAGATGAAGATTTATTTCTGATAACTCCTGTATTTCACTTTTTGGTGATACACTTTACATATTGTTACTGGGAGTTCAACTGCAAACGTAGTAGTTGCCATGTAGTATATAGGGATTTCCTGGTTATGCACTGTGAATCTGTTTAAAGCTAGTCTATTCTTGCATGCACGTCTCTACATGAAGTCAGTTCCTAAGATGCACTCTTCTTCAATGTCATTTACCTACACATCATAAGGTACAGTAAAGGAAATGTTCAACTTCCCTTTTGCTGGAACTGTATATCCACCTGCTATCTTCATCATTCCCTCTTCCTTCTTCATCTCTGGGGACAAATTCTCACCTTTCATCAATAAACCGGGTCGAACAGCTCTAGCTGTATACCAGTGTGAATTAGTACACTGCTAAGTTATCCATAAAAAGGCCCAAAGACTCGTGAACAATTTTTCTCAAATAACTAAGTCATTTTCTCATTTGGGGTATTTCCAGCTGAAATTCACCACATAGCTCCAGCTTTTTCCTGTCTTTTGGTGCTTTTTAGCTCTTTGTTGTAAATTTGATATCATTGGACTATGAGACACATCGTCATGGTATTGTCTCTTTGACTTAATAACAGCTGTTGACTCTTACAATCTCGGATGTAATGGCCTTGTTTCCCACAATTATAACAGTTTCCTCTTCCTAATATCCTCTAGGATAAATTCGTATTCCTTATTGGTTTGATTCTACAGTTAATTGCAATGTCCTTTCCAATTACAATTCAAAGAAGTTATTTGTTATGGTTTATTTCCTTCCTTCTGTGTGATTACCTGTTTAATTCATTCTTTCAGTTCTTCTCCACTGTTGTTAAAGAGAGAGAATGTTTCAATTTACTATTGGATCTGATATTCCCATAACTTATAGATGGTTCCTTTAGTAGTATATTTGAAATTTTAATGGATTTTTAGTTTCATCACAAATTGCAGAGCTTCCTTTAAAGATGTATACTTAATTTGTTTTAGCCTAATTCGCATATTCTCACGTGTTGTGCTATTTATAAATTGGTCACACACTAATGAAAGGATAAGCATCCAGGTGAGATAACTGGGCAGATCTTCAGCAAGCCCAGCTAAGATTTCTTCTTCCCCTGTTCTTGTTATGGACCTTTGCTCTGGATATTTCCTTCTGGTGTGTCACTCTAATCCTGTCAGGTAAGGCAGCTATCAATGCTAAATAATTGTTATGGCTCTCAGCCAGAAGGTTACTTAATGCTATTAAAGCTATTCCTCTTAAATAGCAAGCAAGATGAATGCTTTTTGTTCACTATTCCATCCATTTATTCTGGGAAATATTTCAAATTAAATCTGTTATGACTCCCGTGGTACCTTCCCATTACAGTCCATTGGTTTCACGATTGGCCAGTATTGAAGTGGCCAGCTAAATTCTGGAACTTGATTTGAGTGTGCCATGGCTGAAATAGTCAAAGAAGGTCCTTCAGCAACAGATGGAACAGCAGTAGTAGT